TCAGGCAATCCACCTGCCTCAGCCTCCCAGGGTGCTTCCACTACCCCTTTTTCAGACGGGTACATTGTTGCCCAAGTGCAGCAGAATGTGGCTAAGCTGGGATAGATGCTCTGTAGTTTGGATTGGATTGGATTGGACTCAAATCAGGTATCCTGGGGCCAAATGATGACTTTTCTACAACAGAATTCTCAGACTCAGGAGTCTCTGCACTCCTCCGTGGCTGGTAGACTTCAGTCTCCAAAGTGGGGATCTTAATGGTACTTAGATTAGTTTTTCATTCTTTCTCCTTTGCTGTGTAACAGATTCCCCCCAAACTTAACAACATACAACTACAAGTGTTTAGCATCTTACAAAGTTTCTATGAGTCAGGCAGGAATTTAAGGGGTGGGTTAATGGGATGTTTGGGCTCAGAGTTGCTCAAGAGTTTGCAGTCAGGATGTGGGTTGGGCTGTAGTCATCTGAGGCTGTGATGGGCTGGAGTCCATGGTGGCTCACTTAGTCTCTCAGCAGCTGCTGGGCTGGCCTAACATGGAACTGGCTTTCCTCAGAGTGAGTGATTCCATAGAGCAAAGAAGCCACCAGGCTTTTTATGATCGAGTATTGGAAGTCACACAGTGTTACTTCTGCCACATTCTGTTCTGTGTACAGTAGAAGTCTTTCTTACTCAGTGTGGGAGGGAACTACACAGGGATATGAGTACTGGGAGGTGTGTTGCCTTCCACAATCTCACAAGGCTTTTTGGAGAATTGAATGAGGTGATGACTGTGTGTGTGTGTGTGTATTTTTTGAGACAGAGTCTTTCTCTATTGCCCAGGCTAGACTACCATGGTGTCAGCCTGGCTCACAGCAATCTCAAACTCCTGGGTTCAATTGATCTTCCTGCCTTAGCCTCCCAAGTTGGTGGGACTATAGGCACACACCACAGTGCCCAGCTAGTTTTTCTATTTTCTTTGTGTGTGTGTGTAGGGGGGGCGAGGGTAGAGTGCCGTGGCATCATAGCTCACAGCAACCTCCAACTCCTGAGCTTAGGTGATTGTCTTGCCTCAGACTCCCAAGTAGCTGGGACTATAGGCATCCGCCACAGCGCCTGGCTATTTTGTGTTGCAGTTTGGCTGGAGCCGGGTTTGAACCTGCTATCCTTGGTATATGGGGCCGGCACCCTACCCACTGAGCCACAGGTGCTGGCCCTTAGTTTTTCTGTCATCTTTGTTGTTGTTGTAGTTGTTGTTTTAGCTGGCCTAGGTTGGGTTCGAACCTGCCAGCCTCAGTGTATGTGGCCAGCCAGCGCCCTACCCACTAAGCTATGGGTGCCACCTAGTTTTTCTGTTTTCAATACAGATGGGGGTCTCACTCTAGCTCAGGCTGGTCTCAAACTCCGGAGCTCAAGGTATCCTCCTGCGTCAACCTCCCTGTGTGCTGGAATTATAGGATGAGCCACCATGCCTGGCCAATGATTATATTTCAAATAGTGCCTGGCACATATTAAGTGCTATATAAATGTTTTTAGTATTTTGTGCTTCAGTTTCCTGGCTTGCAGTAAATGGATAATGGTGTGCCTATCTCAGTGTTGTTGGAAAAATCACAGGAGCTAATTTTTGTGTTGTGTATAGTTCAGCGTCCATTAAACAGCTCTGAGTCATAGCTGGTGTTATCCTTGCACATTTGTGCTTTGTTGCAGGCTGTGTGTGCATATGCTGGGTGCAGGCTGTACAGTGGAAAGTTGACAGATAAGTTGCCCTTCGTGGTTGTCAGAATTATTATTAAATATAAACAGAGTTTCTTGCCTTTCGTTCTGTTGACACAGTGGACTCCATCATCCTTTGTTGTGGGGCCTATCCTGGGTATAATGGGATGTTTAAGAGCATCCCTAACCTCTGGATTCCAGTAGCATCTCAGACACAGACAAAAGTTAACACATCATGGGTGGTACCTGTGGCTCAGTGGGTAGGGCGCTGGACCCATATACTGAGGGTGGTGAGTTTGAATCTGGCCCCTGGCCAAACTGCAACAAAAAAAATAGCTGGGCGTTGTGGCGGGCGCCTCTGGTCCCAGCTATTTGAGAGGCTGAGGCAAGAGAATTGCCTAAGCCCAGGAGTTGGAGGTTGCTGTTAGCT